GCGGGAGCCCCCTGCGAGGGGAAGACCGTTCATACGTTCAAATTCAACCTGCCGTTCAGCGCGCTTGACCACGATCAAGGCTGCAGCTTGAGGTCTTAAGGTATTCCGCACCCAAATGGTGCTCTGCTGGTTTCATGCGCCTGCACTGCCTGCACTGCCTGCCTTTGAAGCAAGGCTGCACCCACGAGGTTTCAGGCTCCTAAGCTTCATGCGCCAGTGACGAGTTGGTCATACACCAACTCTGCGATTCGTGGCGTTTATGGAAGCTTTCGTCTCGGATGAGTTCAGTTCAGATTCATCGGCATAGCCACATGAGGCACTTTCATGAGGCCACTTGACAGGCACCTCTGAGAACCCCTTTGTGCTCGCATGCATTTCTGTGGAAACTTTTGCCGTTGCCGCGGGGTTTTGGCGGTCCCCTGGTGGAAGTCCCTCTGTTTGGTTTCGATTCGCAGGTTGAAGTTGGCTCGCATGCATTTGCACCATTGACGCATTTTTGCCGCAGTTGTGGTTTTGTTTTCACCCCTTTCCAACCTTCTCTCTCCCTTGCGAGATGGCTGGACACCAGCTCTATGACATGATGCATTCGCTCCTGCATAGCATTGCGACCGGCACCGCGTCCGGCTCACCAGGCAATTGTGGACCGAACTTGCAGCTGTCATCCCAGATGACGCAGCCCATGAACCTTGTACCGTCACCCAACTCGCAGACGGCATCCTTCACACCTTTCCCCATGATGCCCTACGGCGGCCTCTCGAACTTTGGCAACCCGATGGCCATGATGCCCTACGGTGGCCCTCCCAATTACGGCAACGTGGCACCTGGCACCATCATGCCTTTCATGACTCAGAGCGGCATGCCATCTTCACCGCCCGAGCCTCAGCCGGCGCGCGCGCCCGAAGCTGCCGCTGCGGCTCCTGCCGCTACCTCCTCAACCAACCACCCTCCCCCGGACACTCGGCACCATCCCCACTCTCGCAGATCCCGTTCCCGCCACAGACAGCACCGACACACCCACTCCCACACCAGCCACCATCGCAGGCACAACAAGTCGCACCGACGACACGACACCCGACGATCCCGCAGCTACAGCAGGTCACGTTCCCCTTCCCGACACTTCCACCACTCCCGACGTGCACACCACTCCACTGTCTCCCTCCGCTCCCGCTCCCCCCGACACAGGTCCCACCATCGACACTCCCCTGCACCCAGAGCCACGACTACGCACCGACCCACTCACACTACTCATGATTCCACCTCCTGGCGCACTTCCGGGAAGGATTCCAACAAGTCTCAATGGTCCTCCTCACACTGGCGGAACCAATCGTGGGGATACCCACCACAGAACAAAAACCGCTGGGACATGCACCCCCATGGCGCCAGCCACACCGGCCACCGAAACAACCAGGGCAAACGACCGTCCTGGTCACTGCAGCACCATGGGCAGCAACCCC